AATATTTATGTAGCTTCTTCCCTGTTCCATATGCTGCTTTTGTTTAGAATGCTTTAGTCATTGAGCTGCAATTTCCACCTACATGCAAATGCATGATCCATCTCACAAGTTCGTCTGAACGATACCATCACTTCATGAGGATCTGCATTTAAACTCACCGTGCAACAATGATGGAGTCCAAAGATTTGGTTGACAATGTCAAATACATTCACATGGACACTGACCTTCAACTAAATAAGCCTTTAAAAAAATGCAAACACTGAAAGGTTCCTTCACCTTACAGTGCAGCTTTAAATCATCCTTCACAACACCGCGGTGGGACAAAACATCAGGCACAAAGTTTAAAATGCAACCAGCCGTTTTATTACACATCAGTAGACTAATTTGTCAAAATGGAAGGAGGTCTCCGATTATAAGAAAATATATTACTGATGCATGTGCAGGTATTTATGCAAATTTCTTTCTCTCTGATTAATTATTTTAGGAAAAGTGATGTAATTCTACTTAATGGAAGCCTCTTCTTTGATCCCATTTGTTACTGGGCAGACTTACATTTTAGAATGGGAATAAACCCTCATCTCTGGGTATGCATCTATTTGTAGTGTCTAATGTATGTTGGTACAGTTAAGCAACAAGGCTTGAGGCTAGATGATGCACCTTGACTGTGAAAGGCCGCCATAATGACAGATGAGAACTCAGATGCGACGTTGCTGCAGCATCATTTTTATCATGACGTGAGCCTTAGCATACACAAACATCGAAGTAAAGCACTAACATTCCTTGAAGGAATGCATATCGCCTGCTGCCTTTCAAATTAGGATCTGCTTATGTGAATGTTAATTTGTTTTGTGTGTAGTACCCTTTTTGACCACTGGATGGGAGTATAAGACTGTTTGAACCGAAGGATGGATAGTGAGGGAGCGAGCAGCGTGTCTCTTTAAGAAAAATGGGAGGGAGGCCCCTTGATGTGACATGGGCTGTCTCTCCTTCCTTCCTTTTTTTTTTTTTTTCAAAATGGCGGACGCTCTGTGTGGTTTGAGCTCTTTAGCATAGCAATTTTCACAGCTTTTAATAAAAAAATAAAAAAATAAAAAAAAATCAGTAAACAAGTTCTCAGCTTGGGCAGCTCGGTGGCGCAACTGGTAGAGCTGCTGCCTCTCAGCGAGAAGGTCCTTGGTTCAAACCCCAGTCCAGGGGTCCTTTCTGGGTGGAGTTTGCATGTTCTCTCCGTACATGTGTGGGTTTTCTTCGGGTACTCCGGTTTCCTCCCACAGACCAAAAACATGCATGTTAGGCTGATTAATAAAGTCGATTAATGAAAATGAGGTTGATAATTTTCATTTATCATGCAATTAATTGATTTATTGTTTATTGCGACAGGCCTAATTGTTATAGCTATTTTTGCAATGATAATTGTTGATTAGTTGTATTATCCATCTTGAGTTGAGTTGAGTCCAAAAGTTAATTAGACGCTTATCTAGTGATAGATTTTTTTTCTTCGATAACAGGCAAATCGATGTGTCTTTACGAGTTAATGCCAAAATCTTGGGCAAAGATCTTGCAATATATGTAGCGCTTTGAGTTAGGGGTGACTCTCAGCTGCTACCATGCCAAGTTATAGCTTGATATCTCTAAAACTGAGGAGCAGCCATTTTTGTGTTTGGTAATGACAATTAGCTGTGGCGGCCATCATGAATTGGGTTGACTCCAAAAGTGAATAATTTGTATTTGTACATCAGTTACCTCCCCAGAGTTTCATTAAAATCTGTCAAGTGCTACATGAACTATTTTGCTAACAGATAGGCCCATGTAAAACATTAATGCCCACTGTTTGCTCTTCAGCAACAGGTGATATTCATACATGTTGGTGTGTTTGTCTTTTTTTTTTAACCATCAAGCTTTCTGCATGCTGTAAGATTCTCTCACTCCTTTCAGCCATCACAAGCAGTTACTCTAAGACAGACACTTATACAGTTGTGCATTCGTTATATTGATCCGTGCTTACACAAGCGTTAGCACTCACTTAGAATGAGAGGCATGTCTTCACTCAAACATAGCAGCACTGAGCACACACATGCATACTAATGCACACTAACTCTGATTTAAAACATGCACCAAACTCCTCACCACGGCTCGTTCCTCCAAGTTAAATCATATAGCAGCTGACACATTCATCCAGTGTGTGTGATTTAACAAGGTCCATGCCGTCTTGTCATTAATCATATTAATAATCTGAGCCTCACATTGATTTTTCTGTTCTTAAGCTACCTCGGTGCATTATTTTCTGCCTTCGCTGCCTCTTTGATGAACCCCATATATACACACGCACGCACACAAAGAAAACACAAAAGAGCTTTTCTTTTTAGAAGTCTTTATTCATCTGTGTAGAAAAAAAGACAACAGACCAATAAATGAAACAGCATTTCGCACCCATTTTTATGTTTATACATAAGAGTGTTTTCATTATCACATCTGAGGGTTTTTTTTTTTAAAGGAGAGGATTTCTAGAAAGAATAGATGGTAACATCAGTGCTCTTAAAACCTGAAAGAGGGGGAAAAACAAATATAGATATAAAGAAACTAAAAAATAGCACACTGGAGCGCCTCCATTATTATTGGTACACAGTAACACAGGATGCAAAAGAGACAAAATACTACTAAAAGAAAGAATGGGTTTCAACACTTAAAGGCTATATCTAAATCTCCTCTCCACGTCCTCACTCATCTCTTTCTGTTCCCCCTCTGTTCAAAATCTGGCTTTTTAAATATTACTTTCTTTTATAGTCCTTCCTCAGTTTGGGTTTATTAGTGAGAGACAGTCAGAGAGCAGGTGCCGCTTCCTCGTGGTCGTGTTGAAATGCACAGTGTAGCGGTCGGGCTGCGATCCCTGTTAACAGACCTGTGTTTATGCTGCACTAAGGCCATAAAACCGGACAACCTGAGTCAACAAATGTATTTCACTGCCAGCACTTCATCAGCTTATATTAGATACTTTTTAGTTTGGTTTGATTTTCCAATTAAAATGCATTTTATTACAAGTTAAAGTAGTGTATTTTTGCGGGCTGATGACTGAGACATAACAGATTTGTAAGACTGCAACTTTATTTATTTATTTATTAGTGATTTGGTCCAAAATATATAATTGTTGGAAAAAGACCCATAAAGAAAACTGAAAGCCAGTGGTGCTTTTTGCTATAATGTTTCCAAATGAATAAAATGGTACAAATAAAAGTTTAGAAAATAAACAAATGTGCGGGTTAAATGAACAAAATTTTCAAGATTTTATCTCATAAAATAATTAATGGTAGAAAAAAACTCTGCTCTGTGAAATTTCTTTTGTGTTAACAGGGATGGCTTCCAAAATCAGAAACGTTATAATGAAGAGTTTTTTCCCCAGATAATCAAAAGTAAACTTGTCTGTCTGGTTTTATGTAGAAGATTTCCAATCACTATGTCTCAATACAGAAATATCACAATGTAAAATCACATTTAACAATATTCATATTCACTTATTTTTCCTAATAAAAAAACAGTAACAACCAGCTTTTTTGTTTAAATTGACGCAAGCACGTATGTTTTGATTGAGTCTTAGGAAAAGATAATTAGAGCTCAGTCATTTTAACTTCCTCCAGAGAATGTTCAGATGCTAAACTTAATTTTTCATAAAAAAAAAAAAAAACCCTCTGGAAGATAAGTGGGTTACTATTATAAGATTTGTGATTAGTTTATTTCTTTTCACTTGCAAAGATGATTTAGTCTTAAGACCAGGCGACAATCAAAACTGGGTTCATGCAGTTTTTTTTTAAATTTTGAGATATGTTTTTTAATAACTGTTCTCAAGCTTGTAATTTGTCTTGTGGTCTGAGCAATCGTTTTACCGTTTGATTGTCTTGCCTTGCCTCTCTTCCTGGTTTTTGTTATTTATTGATTTGTTTGACTTGTGATATTCATAAACACTCTTTGAAAACAGCATGCAGTCTTTTATCACTCATATTCTTTCAGTGCAGTGGATGCACACTGGGTAAAACTTCATCCGTTTTTAGATTGTGCCACATTATTCTAGTTGTCAGCCCTCTTCCCCCAATTTTCTTTTTCTTTTGTTGTCTTTTTTGCCTCCTGCCACTTCATTGGTCACACGCCATTTTTTAAAACTTAACTCCCATTTCTTTCTTCTCCGTCAGCATCACACCTCTCTCAGACACTACATCCCCAAAAACAGCACCCCTCTCTGTTCCCCCTCATCTCCTTTCATGTTCTTCCTCTCTTTCCACCCATCTATCCATCACTTTCTCTATCTTTCCCACTCATTAGTCTACCCATGCTGTGGTTTGTGTCTTCCGTCTCTGTCAGAGCTGTTATCACTGCTGTCAGCTCCCTTGGCGAGAACAAAGTCATCCTCTGCTCACAGCACCACAAAAGACACGAGAGGAGAGGAATAAAAGGAAAAGAGCCTCAGCTCTAAAAGGAAATAAATAAATAAATAAATAGAATAAGAGGTGGAAGGATGGAGAAATTAAAAAGAAGGGGAGTAAACCAGAGGAAAGGAGGGAACTAGGAACACATCTTTTCATGTCAACCATGATGCATTGTCATCTGTGGGTTATAACAACCATTGATTTCTCTTTCTGTTATCCCTTTTATCTACACAGCACAGAGCTTACAGTTGGTAGGAAGATACGAGTGCTATCTCTATACACATCAAGAGCCTTTTCCTCATATTATAAATATATCTCTCGCTAAATCAACTAAGCCTAGTATATCAACCTCAAATAAGTTACTGTGTAGTATTATGAGTTGAGAAGGCTTAAAAGACACTGAGAAATCCAAAAGAGGAAACATAACCATTTATAACTATAAGCAGTGCTGAAAGAAGACCCTACTGAACTTTGTAGGATACAGTAGATTATAGTGGGACTCTTCTGTCACTCAGTAGCAGTGTCCCATCATCATAACTCAAATCAGTCTTATCTACTAAGCAAACCAATCATAATCAAACCAGCAGAGGCACGGAGGGTACTTTGGAAACCAAGGACAAAATGCCACAAGCCAAGTGGCTCTCAAGGCTCAGAAAGCGCATCTTTGTATCATCACGTGTAGGCATAATCTATGTCAGGGATGCCAGCCTCTCTGTAGCCACGGTTGGTTCCATAAGTGGCATGATGATGGCTGGTTTGGCTGAGGATGGTGCCATTGAGGCTGACAGCTCCATGGCTACTCCGGTAGGTCCCATTAGCTTGAGAGGAAGAGGAGGAGGATGGGAAAATGGTGTGAATGTAGGTGACATCCTCCAGCTTTGGCTGCAGAGACTGATGGGCCATAGCTGTCATCTGAAACCCTGCAGGGGGGGCTCTGATCTCTAAGATCGAAGTGTCTTTCTTGGTCCCTGACTCTACATAGTCATCATAATGTTTCCCTCCCCGGCCTCTGCTGTATGCACCTGAGTCCCCAGACATGTAACCTGATCTCTGTCCATACCAGCAGAAGATGCCAAAGATTAATAGCAGGCTTACCAATGCTGTTGCACCTCCTATAATCCCAGCCAGTGGAAGGGCTGTTAACTCTAAATCCTGTCCCTCCTTTTCAGATCCTACCCCTCCAGAGCTGACCACAGCCTCTCCAGTCTCAATCTGAGCACAGGCTGGGGTAGAGTATTTGATGTCTGTGTCCATGCTGCCAGCTCGAGATGCACCCATACTGGAGCTGCCAAGGGAGGCCTCCTGTCGTAGTGGCAGCAGGCAGATGAGGTAATGGGAGCGTGGGGTGAGTTGGGTGAGAAGATACTGCCTTCTCTCACCAGGAACCAAAGTTTCTGTTATTGAACCAAGAGCTGCACTGCTACCCAGTCTCTGCCATGATAGGCGGAAAGAAGGTGCAGGCTGCAGGCACAGCCAACTCACCAATACACTGTCTGAAGAGAGAGGTTTTAAAGTCAGCTCTAAGGCCTCCCCAGATATCTGTCCACCTTCTCCTGGAGGAAGAGGCATAATGAAGCCAGGTCGCTTAGCATGCAAAGTAAAGAGGGAGCCTTGCGTAGGGACTAACAGAGAGGTAGTTGTGGTGCTACCAGAAGGGACTACTTGGCTTCCCCCAACTCCGTCCTCGCCTATATCTTTCTCTGCTGGGTTCATCCCTATTCCAGGACTGGGACCTGCAGGAGGCCCTTCACATTGCTCCATCAGTGATGTTAGGTCTCGGAGAATCTGACCCCTTACAGGCTCAGGTCCCTGACAGGTGAGTCCTCTAACAGTCACTGCTGACCCTCGTCCATGCAGCCAAGCATGCAGCCAGCGAAGGTTGCACCCACAGTACCAGGGGTTCCCTCTTAGCAACAGAAGCTCCAGGCTTTCTGTGTCTCTCAGAAGACCTCGAGAGATAGTGGTCAAATTGTTTCCTGAAAGATCCAACTTCTGTAGACGCCGCATCCCGTCCAGTGTCCCTCTTGGTATGTGGGTCATTCCATTGTCTTGCAAATGGAGTCGAATAAGGTGGGCTGAAGGCAGGTTGACTGGTGGAGACTGCAAGGCATTCCTGACCAGTGACAGCTCAGTCAGATTAGAGAGACGAGAAAAGGTGTCATCTGCGATGCGTGTGTTGGCCAGCAAGTTACCATCCAGGACTAAACGTCGCAGGGAGGCAAGCCCACGGAAGGCATGTGTGGGAATGGTGCTGATTCTGTTGTCATCCAGTCGTAACTCTTCCAGTGAAGCTGGTAGGCCTGCAGGGATGCTTGAGAGGTGATTCCGAGACAAAAACAGCAGTCGAAGCCGTGGAGTCCCAGAAAAAGCTCTTTCCTGGATGCTAACTGTAGATATAGAGTTATCATCCAGGTGTAAACGTTCAAGTAATGGTAACTTAGCCAAAGCTGATCGGGGTAACGTTCGTATATTATTATCCTGCAAATGGAGCTCTTTTAAGGAAGGTGGGAGGTGTATAGGAAATTCATCCAATTGGTTAGCATACAGGTAAATCACTCGTATGGAAGTACTACGTTCCAGTGATTGAGGCAGCCCAGCATTGCTCAGCCGGTTACTCTGTAAGTAGAGGATAGCAGCCGTTAATGGTAGTGGAGGAATTATGCTCAGGCCACGGTCGTTGCAGTAGATAAAGCCCTCGTCACAACGGCACACTGAGGGACAAACAATGCCCTCGTCTCCCTCGCCTGTCTCCATGGCAATCGCTGCTGCCGCCAACTCCAGCACCTCAGCCAATAAAGTGAGGACCAGAAGGAGCAGAAAAAGCCAATCGCGAAGCTCAGCAAGACTTTCGGTTGCCATGTTGGTGCACAGCTCTTGACCTAAAGAGAGGGAAAACTTGATTAATACTGTATACTAATATACAAACAAATACTACCACTTATTTGTTCAGTCAAACCAAAGAGGCAGCACGTCATATTAAATAGACAAAATTAACATAACGGCAACATTTATTTATTTATTTTATTTTAAACTGCTCAGTTCCAATGTTTATTTTCCACCTGCTTGTAAGAGTTAGCCCTTTTATAAATCTGAAGAGTTGAAGGACTTGGGAATGGAATAGTCAGATGCCCTTAAGAGGAACTGCTCAGTATTATATGGGTCAGAGCAACCAAGCAGAAGACGAACTGACATTTTGAGCCAGTGAGTGCAACGAGGGGTGGACTGACGGGCGATAAAGATTACAAGAATCAAAGAAAGCAAAGAGATGACAGAAATGGAGAAAATTGGACAGTTGCAGTTGAAGGGGAGGAAAATAAGCGAAGTGGGATTGTTTTCCGAGGAGATTAACTGAATTGAAGTGAGTGACACAAAACTAAAATGGATGTTAGAATGGAGAGAAGGAGATTAGATTAATTGCCTGGATCACTTTGAAAACAACAGAAGAAGCAAAGTTGCTGTGAGAGCACTAGATGTGACCCTGAAAATAAAATTATAACAAGAACACAGTCAAAAAACAGAACTTTATGGCTTTCCGGGTGGTTACTCAGATACACAGTGCTTTTGTTTGAGGTTGTAGCTAAAAGACTTAGAGTAATGCAGACACAAATTAATAAACACACCAAGCACAAAGTGCACATACTGTGCAGTCTCAGTATAAGCTGACATGTATAATGCATGTTTTCACTCAGTGGTTATTGTTCGTGAAATTTATATAAATTATTCAGGAAAGTGGTCTTGAAATCACCAGAAATGTTTTAGTGAGATGTTTTACAGAGAAGCATTTTTGCCTGTAACATCACAAATGTTCCTTGGTTGATATTTTATGATTTGTGTCCTAACAAATCCTTCATCCTGTCAATTTACCTTTCAAATAAAACAATGTCTTTTCATTTATTTTTACTGAGATCTATATGTGAGAGAGAACAATATACAGCGAGGAGAGTTGTTGATATCTCATTGTGTTAAACTCTTGTTTGAAGTCCTTTTTGAGTAGCCTGAGGCTGGACAATGTGCCCTGATTTGAAAAGACTGACTTGATTTGACAGCACATTTGAAAAACAAATCCTATAAGGGCAAGTCCCCCCCCCCCCCCCCATCCCTATTGGCACATGCACATGTGTGTTTATATGTGAACTCTGCGCTACATGCAAAATTGCCCCTTGGCTGCAGTCAAAATCCATGTAAAGCAAACAAGAGATGGCAACAATAGAAGAGATGATGAAAGGAAAGGAGGGTGAGGAGACAGATGGAGAGTCGGCCAGTCAGAGGAGAGGGGAAATGAGTTCCTGGCAGTGAAGACCTAAGTCTGTATCAGATGAGTTTGATGCAAAATAAAGAATGGTTCCATACACTGACTTTGTGTTGTTTTTTTTTCTCTGTTAGATAGGTGTAAAAATAACTGTTTGGTACCTTTACATGCCTGTGTTGTACACTTCCATGTGTATACGTGACAGATCTGTATCTACAACGACGGGCTCCCGTCTCAGCTCGACGCAGACGGTATTTGATATGTCAAGGTGAAAAAGAATGCGTACTACAAAATTTGGCATGATCCCTGACTTCATTTTTCTTTATCTCATAATATTTTTAGCTCAAATCTTAATATCTTGAACCATTCTCTGTATTTCAGAGACAGAAAAACTAAGGGAGAGATGCAGACAAGAGGAAGTGTAAAGGTAGGAGCTGAAACCAGATTGAGATGGTCTATGAATATCAACTAGCATATGTTTCAGCGCCACAATATCCCCACTTCCCTCTCATAAATACCCTCTTGGCACAAGCCTGTGTGTATTCGCCCACATGCCAAGGCTTCCAGTCGACATGTTGCTTTAATGATTCTCAGATTTTCTGTCTTCCCTCGTCCCTGGTTCGATCTCTCTCTGTCTCTTCTCTCTGCATCTTTATCTTTTACACCATCTACCTCTCCGATCCGCCTACCTCTCCTTCATGACCTGTCATTATATCCACTTTCAGGTTTGTTTACAGAAGTATCCACGCAGTCATCCTCCCTTCTACAGTGTCTATCTCTTTCTTATCCTCTTTGTGTCATTCCCTCTCCAGTTGTCTGTTGATTTCTGCATACTGAGATTGGCTCATTCAGACGTGGTTTAATCTTCCTGCACACAGCTCTTCTCCTCTTTTCTCCTCTCCTCCTCTTTTCCATTTAGATGCGACAGACCACCTCCATCTCCTCCCCATTCTCTTTTACACTCCTTTTCTGCCTCACCTTTCTTGCCACCACATTTGCCTTTCTCTCCTTTTGTGCTCCCCCAACCCCACCATTTTAATCATGTTCTTAAAAGGTCTTTGTTTCTTATCATGTAGCTGAAAACAGGGTGTGAGTGTGGTGAATCTCGATGCGATGAATGTGCAGCGAGTGTAAAGGGGTCCGATCGACCCGCGGTGTGATTGCCGAGGGCTTTCTAACCTGCTCAGTCTCTGCCTTTCACGTCCGCCGCTGCTTTGTTTTTCCTGTATCAGGGATTTGTGGAGCGGAGTATTAGAGCGTCTGTACGTGTGATTGAGGACGTTGCCTCGGATCTGTCTGTTAGCACAGTTTCACAGCCTTCTTTGAATCGTTCAGAAGTGTAGCCTTTTTCCTTCAGGCTGTGGAATCTTCCTCAGCTTGGATGAATTATGATAGGGCTGATGATAGCCTGCACTCCAGGGCTCCACAAGTAGCTGCACCAGCATGGCTCAAAGCCGCCATGGCATCCACATTTCTGTGTTTTGTGCGGATGCGTGTCCCACTGCCAAGCTCTTTTTCTTTTTCTGGGTAAGGGGCTTTTAGGCCTGCCAACTTAAGTCATCTTCAGTGAGTGTCCAGAGGCCTAATTCTGCAGCCACCCCTCCACACCCAAACGCTACAGTTGGGCAGACAGTCAGAAGATAGATGAGAGCTCAAGGGTCCTTCTTGGAAGTCAAAAGCAATCCTGGATACCCATGCAAGCAGTGGGTCATGCAAAAATAGTACTTCACCGTGCTACCCTTGCTTTGGAAAGGCAGGTAGTGGTTTTTAATTTGATGAGCAGTGAAGTGAGAGAGAAGCAGCAAGATTTCTACTGCTCAGAAAAACTCAACAAGAGTACTTATTGAAAAGTCTGATCTGTTAAGGTTCCACGTTCACAAATATTACAAGATAAACGTCACCATTCAATGACATTATTAAACACGTTTGTAGGGAATGATGGACAGGTTCAGTCAGGCAAGGCAACAGACTGAGCTGGTTTCTTTCAGTCTGCCTCTCAGTTTCAGCCTCACTCTCCTCTGGTAAATGTTTGATTAGTTCCTTTTCAGAGTGCACAAATCAACTTCACGGGCAGCAAAGCCAGATGATTTCCTCTATTGTATGCAGTCCACTTTCAGCAGCACTGTCGTGATTCGGTGTGGGAAGTTCTCTCTCAGCCTGGCGAAAATGGACGATCTTCACCTCACTGGTGTTTGCATCAGCCGGTCAGCCACTTGTTGGACGTTGGTCCTGCCTGAAAAGACACAGACAAAAAGATGATAATCAGAATTTGTTTGCAGTGGCTGCAGAAGTATTCATATTCTTTCATAGCAAATGAGATGTTACAGTCATGTGCATAATAAGGGAGATGAACAGTTATGTGACTTTCAGTTTGCGGTTTTGTATTTGCTGCTATAGAACTCCTTTTACAGTCACATACTGGGTTTCACATACACCAAATCATTTTTGAGGCCTGCACTGTACTTCTTTTAAAGCTCTGCAACTGCTGACCAGCGAGCACCGTCCCATTTTGTGCTTGCTACATAGTAAGGTCATGGTTGTGGCCCAGCTGCAGCCCCAGTGTCTTTGTTCTGCTCTCTGGTAGATGAGTTATACGTTTCAAAGCAGAGGGTGAAGTAGTTCATGTGCTTCTATTTCAAGCTAACCATAGCTGCACAACAGAACCAGGACTGGTGAATCAATGGAGAGCTGCCTGAGTAGAGAAAGCCATATTTTGTTTGTCATAAAAAGCCTGTATGCATCCCTTCTTTATTGCTGTCTACAAAATATAATAAAGTTAAGGGGAAAACACTTCACACTAATTGGTTAATTGGTTGAAACTACAATATTTCAGTAGGTAATATGGAATGTTTCATTGAAAAGTTGAAGAAAGTGTCACATTCAAATCAAAATTTCAAGTTAAACAAGCAAATATAATAAAACTAGAACTGTGACCAAGTTAGTTTATTTGAAATTAAATTAACCATTTTTTGCAGTATATAAGTCAGTTTGTTGCATAGATTTGTCAGGCCTCCGACTTATACGCCGAAGCGACTTATATCCTTTTTTTTTTTCCCATATTCATAATGCAATTTTTTACTGACGCTTTATATTTCGAAGAACTGCAACAGCAAGTCCTCCCATGTGTGCTCGCTTCACTCAGTTGGTGCAGGCGGAGGAATGCTGGAGAGCTAGCGGCTCCGACTGTGTTGGATGGATGGCACCGCACCACTTAGGCGAAATGAAGCAGTTTTGACCATTAAATAAATGCATAATAAATGTGACTTATACGCCAAAGTGACTTATTTATGGTTTTTTTCCCTCTTCATGATGCTTTTTTGACTCATATGACTTATACGCCAGAAAATACGGTAAGAGCTGCAAGATGAATTTGAGCTGTTGTAGAGCTGCCACCTCTCATTGAGCAGGTCATCCCAGTTCAAAACACGGGCGGGGGCCTTTCTGGGTGGAGTTTGCATGTTCTCTCCATGCATGCGTGGGTTTTCTCCGGGTTCTCCAGTTTCCTCCCATAGACCGAAAACATGCATGTTAGGCTGATTGGTAACTCTAAATTGTCCCTAGGTGTGAATGAGAGACTGAATGGTTGTTTGTCTCTATGTGTCCCTGTGATGGACTGAGACCTGTCCAGCATGTCCCCCGCCTCTCGCACAGTGATTGCTGGACATGGGCACCAGTGACCCCCATGACCCAAAAAGGAAGAAGTGGGTTAAAGATGATGGATGGATGTTTGGTTTCCTCTGAAGTTTTAGGACATTTAACAAAATCACTATCTGCTCCAAGAGTGAGAAGCTTCAGATTAAAAAAAAAAATAAATCTAACATTAGAAAACAAAGTAAACAGTCAAATATGAAGTGTTCAGATGCCGGCATAGCAATTTGTTTTTGATTTCTATTAAAAGAACAAATGCTGTAAATTAATTACCTTTAATTCTATTTTCTGTTAGTTTTTTATTTAAATACCAGCTTTGTTTAAACAATGTCAAGAAGACGTAACGTTGAGTTTCACTGTTGGCCCAATGTGGATACTTAAAGGACTAAATAATTATCCCCTTCAGAATGGTAATACTTTTTAAAATTAAGTAGCTCGTGAAAATACTTCTTGAAGGTCAACGCTGCACACGAGCAACATCACACTCCCAGTGGACAACAAACCTCCCATTAAGGTAACTGCATGTTTTATATACGTTTTTTTACACAGAGCTTTGGAGCTTTCATTAACCACCACACGCTAAGTGCCTGGATCGTCTGTGCACAACCAAACCCGCAGCGAACGCTGGTTTAAGAAATATAAGGTTTTCATCAGGCATTCAGCGTATTCAGAGACAGATTCATCAGAAGCCATTAACTGCTTCGCTGCTCACGCTCGCACGCTCTCCACATCCCAGAGTAAAGTCGACTCCACAGCCAACTGGGAAATTATCGTGCAGTTTGTTCAAATACAAATAGACAAATAAAGGTGTCCTCATTTTCATGATTAAAGGACACGAGCTGCGGCTGAGGAGAACTTGTTTAACAGACCGTTTAAAAAGCATTGAACACATAAAAGTCTAAAATCAGTGGCTCCATGTTTTCTGTTTTAATATTTGGCTTTTTTAACCAGGTAAACAGATGGGAAGGAGCATGTTTGGCTGCAGTTTAGAGAGGTAGTTAAATGGTTGGTGTGGTGAAATAAATTGTCCAACTCACAGAAAGGGACTCACAGGCTTGTAAAATTGATTTATATGTGCAGAGAGCAGCTAAAATATGTACTGAAAAAAGCTCAGTGCGGGACAGAATGTTCAGAGCGTCTGCAAAACCTGTTAAATTTAGTGTTTAGCAAATAAGCGTCTGTTCTTGGGAGGTTTTGACACATGAAAAGTTTTATCTGTAGCACTACAGATTAGACATTTCATTTATTAGTAATTCAGTGTAAGCTTAATACTCGACTAATTACCAAAACATTAGGCTGGGAGAAAAATAAATACGGAGCCAAAAACGTATATTTATTTTAAAATGGTACAGTTAATTCTTTTCATTTAATTCCTGGAACAATCTCCAAATAGCTAAAGCTGAAACAAACACACAAAAAGAAAGTAATATCAAATAACTATGGGTCATTGAGGATTAGAAGTCAGTAAAAAAATTGGGTATAACAAAAATATTTTTCAGACGAGGGAGTTTAACTCTGCAAAAAATTGTAGGTAAACATAAAAAAAACCCGTAAGTATCTCAACATAAAATGACAAAGAACTTAGACAAATATTCATATGCGTGACGGTAAAACATTTATGCAGTCTTGAAAAATGCCTGTTTATAATGTTCACGATGGCAAAGCTAATAGTGATCTTCCACATCTGCATACCTTCAGGCAGAACTGCATCAAACAGCTGAGTCTCTGTTGTTGACATCATTGCATGGACTCAGGAAGGCTAACAAAAATCACTGTAGGTGGTTCGAAACAAGTCAAAAACTCTACCTTGGGAAGTAAAAAGCAGCATACACATGACAGAAACCTCTCAAGGTTCAGGCTAATTTAGGATATAGATGTTTCAAACTGTACTGTGGTCTATAGAATCAAAATAAAAATGTATTTTGGACAGCAAGGACACGCTGTCCCCCTGAATAAAGAGGAGCAGGACCGTCTGGCTTGCTCTCGATGCAGAGCTTCAGCGATGCATTAGAACAATGTGTAATATTAATGTTTCATCATTAATGCTGAACTTGAACATATTCAGATCAACATATGCTCTCGTGAGCGGAAGCCTTGATTTCCTGATTTGAAGACAATGTCAAACGCCATTATGTTTGACATCTCAACGCTAACAACATTCAAGGTGCTGCAATGAAAGATGTCCAACCAGGTAAAAACATCTGGTTTCAAAGGAAAAACTCCAAACTGAACTCAGACAGTGGAACTGTGCACATGAGCGGCTTTGACTATTAAAGCTCTGAAATGCAAATAGATATAGAAGGGCTGATGATGCAACGCGGCTGTAAATTCGCTCCCATCCCAACAGTTCTGACATGTGTTACTTTGACTTTCAATTTAAAATAAACTCTTAAAAAACACTGAAGCACAAACTATATACAGAAAACAAGCAGCCCCTTCACTATAAAGTCTAACGTGTTATTTAAGCTTACCAAAAAAAACAAAAGAGTTGAAGAGCTGTGTTAAAATAAGTGCTGTAAAAAAAAATTACGAGACTAGATTATTTTATGTTCTCTCATTGTGAGAATGTTTATGAAGCAGTCACATTTTTGTGATCCATCTTTCTCGTTCCACAATTTTTGTGCTATTTCAAAAATTCATATATCAAAACCTGCAGCTCGTTCAGGAGAAGGGTGCTATGACTTTTGGTATGGGTGCAACTTTACCTTTTTGAAGCATTTAGTATACCACTTTTTTCTCATAGAAAATGAATCAAGCTCATTTTCCATCCTTCAAATCTTTAGATCTGTTTACAACCTTTTACTGCTCCTTTCCCTTTTTGTTCTGGTTCAGCTTCCTTGTGCAAATTTAAA